TTATTATTATTATTATATGACAAGGATTTCGTATCAATGAAAGACGAGAACCAAACACCCCGTTCTACGTAATTCCCTCTGTTTTTCGCTTCTGCATTCCTTTGTCCTTCGAGAAGGATTTTTATAAAAGTTCTGGTTTCCAAAATTATAACTGCACTGTATTCTTGTATTTGTTCAGTCTTTGTGAGGTGGTATTTTCTTCAAAAATTATATTCAGTTGTTGTTTTTTTCATAATCTTTAATTAAGTGCTTGTGGACATAAGACGTAAATGTACACTAAACACAGCACAAACGATATCATGGGTGGTTGGCGGGTACTCTGGTGCGGTTTGCTCCTTTTTTCCTATCAAACACCTATTGTCTTGATCTCTCCTCCATCTTTTTATGTTTGTTACTCTCTTGTAACACCTCTAATCTTCGGCACTTATATGATCTTATTGTGTTTCAAGTGTCGTAAAACTATTTGTAAAAAAACACAAACGAAAACAATGAAATATACAAACACTACTTTCCACTATTCTCTTCTGGGAATCAACGACATTATCATTTTACCATAGATAATAATTATACAAGTATTTGGGACCAGAGTCTGTTGTATAGCGGTTAGGTGCGAGTTCGATTCCTGTGTGGTGAGACATTTGATCGAGTACCTCTCGGTCTTTCTGCTGGGAAGTTGTTACCCTCTCAGTTCGGGCTGATCTGACACTGACAGGCAGGGTTGGTGGCTCGCCTCCGAAATGATCTAAACTGTGTCGATGGGGGCGTAAAAACACATCCATATTGGAAAAATAAAGTTATTTCTATTGGGATGTTGGGTCCCTCTCAGCCCAGGTTAGCCCTGACAGTCGATCAGTGTCGAAGCCTGCCTCCTGAATGATAGAATTTGTGTCCATGAGGGGGTGCAAACACTCTTTAACTTTAAGGAAGGAAAAGAAAGAAGAAAAAAAGGTAAATGAATGTGGAAAAGCATTTAATTGTTTTCCCTTAAGATTTAATTTTATTCTGTCCCTAACTTGTTCTTTGGAAATGGGACATTATAAGTACAGTATGAAATGGTACAAAAGATAAGGGAACCTTTTTATTCACAAATATATGGAATATATTGACAAATGTATAAAATATACACTCTAAATTGTCTTAGACGCCCACCCCCAATAATCGAGGCGAAAACTGGTTTCTTAGACAGGTGAACATCTTGCATCTCAATAGAAATTAGAAACAAAAAACACAAGTGGGGAAGTGGCAAGTGGTCGTTTGTACAAGTGACTTTCTTGGACAGGTGGCCGTTAAAGCAGTCTCGACCAGACTCACAATTGTAGAGAATTATCTCAGGTTTTCTGCAAAGGATGTTGTATCCCTCTCAGTCTGACAATGACAATGACAATGACAATCTTTGTTCATCTCGCAGGGAGAAATTTGTCTTGGTCATTAACAATGGCAGTAGACGTTACAAAAGTTAGATTTAGACTTTAAGGTGCACTCTCGCAAACGCACAACAAGACAGGACATAAGGCCAAGTAAATACATGTCTCACGGGCTGGGACAACCCGCTCCGTAAAACATTCATTCTCTCTCTCTC